CTTGCCAGTGCTGGTGGGGGTGGGGGTTCTGCTTTGCTCTTCTGGTAGTTCCTTGATTAGCGTATGTTGACTGCTTATCTGGGTGTTCGCCTCCATTTAATTTTCACTTGAGGGAAATCATTTGAAAACTCTTACTAGAGTAGGACTTCTTTCAGTACATTATACTCTATAATAATGTCTTACAATATGGTTGCATCAGAAAAAGATTGCTTTGATTCTGATAGTTGATACGTTGCTAGCATTAAGCAGAAATCTGGTCTCTTTTATTGCCTGAACTAGTTAGGCACTATTTCTGTCTGCTGCTCATTTTACTTTTGTTGTTGTTTGTTTAGAAAAAGCAAACATGATTTTATAGCCTACATTTGCATGTTTTTAATATAAGGTTTTTGTACCCAGCTTGTTGTAGTGTACTTAGGGCCTAATGAATGTTTCCCAGGAAAGCTTTTTCATAACAGAAAATTTGCCAAATTCCCTAGATGCCGGATTTTTAACCCTCAAGGAGAGAAGTAATGGATGGTGTTCCCTGCAAGCTACTTGATTTCATCCACCCATTAGCTCTCCCAAAGGGGAGAGACACACAGCATGAAGAGATAGTTGTAGGAGCCTCGCAGACTTAAACTGATGTTTAAACAACCTGTGACATTTCTGTTAAGAAGACTGGGTCCCCAAGAATGTACATGAAGAGCTATGTACAAACATCTGGCTTTCTTGTATTTATGGACTTTGGGTTGGAGAAAAGAGGACTCTAACAGGGTCTGCTCACAGTCGCCTTCAGTGCCATGATGGAATTTGGCTTAAAAAGATCTTGTAAATCTCACACAGAAATCCAGGCTTTCAATGTATAGCCATTCACTGCTTAGCCTGCATGCAAAGTCTGTAGATGAATGGTTATGGGACATTTTATTTAAAACATACATAAATTCTGTAGTACAGTGCTGCTCTCTCAGAAATCATTAAGTACTGGTATACTAAGATACCTATATTGGCTTACATTGCTAAAATTATTTCAGAATAGGTTCATGTAAATATTGGTTGCTGGCACTGGTTCTACATTCTAGATGCCTCTATATCCAGATCTCCTAAATGCCACCGTTCGCTCCCTACCCCTTACCCCACAATAATAAGACCAGTATATTTTGTTTGTCCTAGGCTTCATCCAAGCTGAAAGATCTGATTAGTGCTTTGGATCAGTTGGAACCACATAATCCTCAGCTTTTCTGTAAGATAGCCTTGGTTTTTAGCAGAACGGTAAGTAGAAAAAAATTTTAATTGCTAAAATGTAAATGTAGGTAATGACTGATTCATTGACCCTCATATATAAGCAGGTAAGCACTCTGTGTACATAATGCTAACTTTGCCTTTCATAGAAAGCACCAATATAGGTTGGGCTTGTGCCTTTTGAGCGTCATGTGAAAAACAGTTGTTATTATTTAGACTTAAATACCAACAACAACATTCCTGTGAGGTTGATTGGTTGAGAGACTGAGGCCCAAAGTCACCCAGTGAGTCTCCATGGTTAAAGGAAGACTAGAGCTAGCCTAGCACTTTCAACCTTATACCATGTTGGCTCTCTAAGAGGACACTTATGGCCATCCAGATACAACTCCCAACATTGGTTACTACTGGCAATGTCAACTAGGACTACTGGGAGTTTAGTTCAGCAGTCTTGGGAGAACCAGAGATTCTCCAGTTCTGCTGTATACTGATAAATCTATTTAACAGAGCCCAGGCATGCTTCAGGAAATGCTAAATTACTGTAATTGGAAAAGCGTTGTTTGTGGAGTCAAGCAGAGAACAATCCCCTAATCAAGGAACTACCATGGAGAAACCACACCTCCACCAGCACTGGCAGGGCAAGCTATTGCATATAAAGAGGCAGCAAATTCCCAACTCACTTGTGCTGATGGTGTTACTTAGTTGGGTGATGAAACGTCTGCAAGCAAACAACCAAGCTCAGAGAGCACCAAGGACTCCACAGTTCAACCCTGAGCTACAGATATTCTCTTCTATTAAAAGCATTGTTTGGAATGTAAAGTTAAGGAAGCACTTGTTCAGCATTTCCATCATTACTGTGAACATGAAGAACAGTGAACAGTTTTCTTCCTCTAATGGCTTCCTATGGTCACCTCTCCTTTCTCTCTTTATTTGTATTGGTTAGCTACCTGTGGCAAGAGATTCACTTATTACTGATTCTGAGTAAAATGTGAGATGTGTAGTGGTGTAAAAGTGGAGGCTGTGCTCAGAGCATTTGCCAGAAGCAGACAGCAGTCAGAGATGGAGATGGTTGAGGCAGAGTAGCTCATGGACTTTAACTGGGGAGACACCTTTCCTGGCCTTTATTCTGGATTTCGGTTGCCCAGTATTGGTAGCAAAACTGGAAAACCAGATTTTCAGTCATATTTATTAATGCAAGGAATATTTTCCAGATGACTTTATAAATTGGGCAGTCTTGTTCTGTCAGGGAATGCATTTTCTCAGGAATAATTTGTTGGGTGCTGCATGCTAGCAAAGGGCATGGCTGAAATAAGCATGCCTGGAAACAGAACACATTCATTTCTTCCTTCAGATACTTCCATGTTCTCTTTCTGATATGTTACTGTCAGAGTAGGGGGTAACAGGATTTAATAAAATTGTGGACAGCTTGCTTGCGGAGAGTTTCTTCCACCAGGCCAAAGATGCGCACAATGACGGGCATAGTTAAGTTACGATTATACCAGTGTTTGATGCTTAAGATTGTCATTTTTAAATTAATATTGTGATTACTTCTGATACAGTTTTTCAAAACGAAAAGCATTTATAATGGAAATGCTGAGTGTGCGTGTGTGTTTTTAACTATAGTGTGGCCGCAATCCACACATCCTGCAGCTGACCCAGATGTTGGTGGAAAGAGCTTTCAGCTTAGCTCCTCAGAATGCAGATATTGCTACAGAGCTGGGCTACCAGATGCTTTTTCAAGGAAAAATTAAAGAGGCTGTAAAATGCTACAAAACTGCTATGGCTCTTGATGAGACAAGTGTTCCTGCACTGACAGGTATGGCTTTTTACAAGTAATTGATATGGTGGAATACGCAGAGAGAGAGAGAACTTGATCTTTTCCAGGTTTTTGTTTTTTTCTTTTTTTTGAGTCGCTATTCCATTTTCATAGCTTCATGTAACCTTTAGCTGAATTTGCCTACTGCAAATTCAGATTCAGGGCTTTGGCAAGAATGACCATCTCTCCCCCAAAGCAGTGGAGGTGGTGCCCTTTTTATTGATAGCTTTGGCCCTACCTCCTGCCCGCATGCAGCTCTTGATAGAAAAGATTAATGGCCTCTTCTGTAATCTATGAAATTGGACCTGAACCCTGAAGACGTTTTGTAGAATAAAGCTGAAATGAAACGCTTTTGCATTATAGGAATTATCCGAAGCCAGTTAATGGAAGGAAAGTTAGATGATGTAGAGCAGCAGTTGGAGTTCCTGAATGAAGTCCAGCAGTCTATTGGAAAATCAGCAGTAAGATGAGAATGTTATTTTCCAAAAATGATTTGATTCTAATCCATGTTGTTAATGCGGATCTGATGACCTCTGTCTTAGAATACTTACATGGACCAAGGTTTCTTACTCAAGAATCTAGTTCTATTTTCATGTCCCTACAATGTCCAGCTCTTGGGTTTCATGACACAGGATGAAGATGGTGGTAGTGATGAGCATGGTGGTGGTGGTCTTGAGCGTGTATATAGAGCATTGAGAATGAAGACCATCTTGTTAATGTGATTCACAGTTGAGTGACTTTTGCCATGTCTCAGACTATATTTGGGTTTTGGATGGCATGCAAGGAGAGGAGATTGTAAACGGTTGGTAGAGCCAGGACCAAAAATGGGAAGAATCAGGGCAAAACAAATATAAATCCCCCCACCAAAAAAATACCTTTCAAAATCTTAAATAAAAATCTTTTGTAAATGTTTGTACATTGTGTAAGATAAAAGTTTGCCACCAAATAGTAGTAGCAAAACAGAGAGCTGAAATTTGGTAGTAAGAGGGTAGAAGATTCTAATTTCCATATCAGAGCTTTGCAGGGGGAAGTCAATGTGTTTAATTGATTCCAATATATTTTGATGATAGTGAATTGGAATAGAGTTGAATCTTATGAAAGAAATGTAAAACATAACACATTTCCTGATTCAGTTAATTAAGAGGTACTCTTATATTTTAAAGAAGCATATACAAGGAGAGGATTTGCTGTGATTGCTCTCACAAAAGCAAATCAATTGCAGAATTATGACTTCAGAATAAATTTAGTGGTTGTGGTGGGATGACAACTCTGTGGCAGTTGCTCTGCCATATCTACTGCCCTGTTGACTTTCTGTGGCCAGGGAGAGAACCAGACTTTACTTCTGTCTCTTTCATTTAATCTCACCTCAAGTGAGAGCCAGTTTTCAGACAGTTTCCCAAACCTGATGGAATAGAAAATATTCTTATACATTTTTTAAAAATTGTTTTGTAGGAGCTGTCTTATTTACGTGCAGTATTGGCTATGAAGAAAAATAAAAGACAAGAAGAAGTTATTACTTTATTGAATGATGTACTTGATGCCCACTTTTCTTCTCTCCAAGGTTTACCTCTTGGTGTAGAATATTTTGAAAAATTAAATCCTGATTTTTTGATAGAAATTATTAAGGAGTATCTTAATTTTTGCCCAGGTCAGGTAAGATACAAAAGTTCTTATCTTTCTAAAATAAGAAAAAATATATAATGTTTTGCTTTTCAGTCTTAACAGTTATTTGCCATGTGTAGGAAGTAAATGCTGGTTTATAGCGGACTAACGTTTGAAAGGGAAGAAGATACTGCTAATACCTCTATATTCTTATCAAGACAAATGACAAGATACAAGCTCAGTTGTTGAGGAGACTTGACCTTTAACTACTGAAAATATTTTTCACCCCTTTTGGTTTTAAAAAAAAATTGAATAAGAAGATTGTTATGACCCAAATTAGATATAATATACAATGGATAGGCAGACTTTTTTCTGTTTGGGACCAAAGCTAAAAGTGAGATAGGTCACTCATTTTCTGTTTTTGTCATACTCTCTTTCTGACATCCCTTTCTTCTAATAGTTCCTACCAGAAGTTTAGTTTAGTTGTTTGAAAAATTACTCTGCCTAATAATTCTGGGAGCTATAATCTCAACATATTTAGCGGTCATGAAAAGCTGGTGTAGCCTAAATTAGGTCAAATAAGTCTGTTAGGTGAAAAATCCCATTCAGAATTTTGCAAGGAACCTGATCCTAGCCTAGCTACTGAAGATTTGTTTCCTAGAGCTCCTTTTGAGTTAATCTGTCCTTGGAATGTTTTCTGTTGTTAATGGTATCTTTGGAGTCTGGAGTGCTTCCTTCTGAGGCAGTCAGGAGGACAAAAGCTGATCTATCCATGTATCGCTCTCTTGCCTTAGCACAGTGTTTCTCAACCTTGGCAGCTTGACGATGTGTGGACTTCAACTCCCAGAATTCCCCAGCCAGCATGGCTGGCTGGGGAATTCTGGGAGTTGAAGTCCACACATCATCAAGCTGCCAAGGTTGAGAAACACTGCCTTAGCATCTTAGACGTCAACTACGGATGGACTCAAAAATGCCAATGTTACATGTTGAGAGATCCAGAGAACAGGCAGGGTAAAATGCACATTGGATTTTACTTCTCAGGTCAAATGAATGTGTTAAATCATGTTGGAATAGAGTAATGTTTAATCATGAAGTCTATTTTGTTAACGTTTAGCCTGCAAGCCCAGGACAGCCTCCTTCACCACTTCTCAGACCTTGTGCATCAGTCCTTGAAACTGTGATGAAAACAGTTCCTGGTCTTTTACAAGCTGCCTACTTGGTTGCAAAGGTGAAATATTTATCAGGTAATGATTTCTTTAAGGACACATTTTTTTCTTTCAAATTATGCTCTCAGTTTCAGAAAGCATTTCTATATGTGAGGAGTGGGTAAAGTGCAGTCTACATTCTTCCCCAGACAGGATTTCTGAAGAATATATTGCTAAAATTCAGAGGTTTCTACTGTAAATCACACTGTAATCTGAAAATGGTAATTTTAGGTTGGAAATAAACTAAAAATGACTTTGGCCTTGCTGTAGGCTTACAGTATTTAATCACCTGGACAGGAAACAAAGTAAGGAAAGGATGAAGAACATGGCTTCTGGGATTCTGTCCATTCCTGTTACCAGAAATGGCCGTAGGAGTGGTTGGCTTTTTCTTGTGCAACAAAGTAATGTTTGCATTTGTGTATATATTGCATGCATTTTCTTCTCACGGACTACTTAGGGTGTGTGCATATGTGTTGGCTCTGTGTGTGAAGCTCTAATTAATATTCCAGACTACTGCCCAACTGGAGAATGTTTCTCCAGATTTTTTTTTCGCAACAACCCCCAGCCAGATCTAACCACTTTCAAGCTTGGTCTTTCTTTTCCTGGCTTCTCTCCCTGCCCACCTGACCAAATTTGGTCCTGCTCTGTTTCATTTTTAAAAAGTCACTCTGTTGACAGAGACTTGACCTCCTTTAAGTAATTTCTTTCCAACCTTCTGTTGGGTTGGGAAGAACGAAAAAGAAACTTCTTTGCAGGAAAAATCCTAGCCCTAACCACTAAGGTAACCCAGTCCTATCCAGTTCTCCCCCTTGCTCTGCCTACTGCAGCCCTTGACATTTTAAAAATAAAATTTAAAAATTTAGTTGCCAGACCATGAATGTGTAAGTCAAGAAACAATATAGTGTCAGTGGCTTCTCATATTGTATTATTTCATTGTTTCTATAATTTTGAAAATAATGAAGATTTTGTTTCCATTTGTTTCCATTTATTTGTTGAAATAAATGGAAACATTCATTTATTGGCTGGTAGGGGATGAGGGGCATGAAGAAGCATATAGAGTCAAGGGGAAAATCAGTTTACAGATGCTCCCCTAAAATAAATTTTGAAGATGAAGGGTTTAATTTAGCTACCTACAGTGTTTTATTTGTTTAACCTGCTCAGGGAACTGTGAAGCATCTGAGAGAATCTTACAACACTGTCTGGAGCAGAATCCTTCCTACGCAGAGGCTCATCTCCTGATGGCTCAAGTTCATCTATTGCAAAACAACTTCCAACTCTGCTCTCAGTCCCTAGAGCTCTCTCTAAGTTACAACTTTGAGGCAAGTTGGATTAGGTTATACTGAAACTCTACTTTCATAGCATACTTGACTATCATCTAAACTGGGTACCTGAAGTATTTATGTTTATTATTTGGGAGTGCAGTTGTGATTGCAGATTATCAGAATATCAAAACATTGTCATAGAATTGTTAATTAGCCTTTTAATGCCCCCAAATTGGCTCCTTCCTTGCCCTATGACACCATGGGTGATAGACTATAGCTTCTAAGGTCTAATTCAATTCCTTTTTTCTCTGCTGATTTACAACTATCCAATAGTGTCAAGGAGGCGAACAATTCCTAACTAAAGATCAGTTCAGACCAGAATCTGACAGAGCTTCATACTGGCCACAAGAGAAGCTAGCTAGATATAGCAAAACACTAGATACACATAGAGGAGCTCATAGTATTGATCTAACAAGTTTGGATCAGACAACTTTGAGAGATCTTAAGTCTTGATAAATGCAGGTCTGCAACCCATAAAGGGTCATCAGAAGTTTATAGCAGAATTGTGTTGGTTGTTACTTGTTGCCTCCCAGAAGCAGAGGCTTGGAAGGTAATTCCTAGATATTTGAAGGCCATAGTTTGTTCCATAGATGTTTATTTTCCAGCAGCGGGCATAACTAACCTGCCTTTTAGTAAAGATCCTGATTTTTGTGTTACAGTAATTAATAGTATATTTTTCCTCTCCAATGTACTCTGCACTCTGATTTTCAAAATAATCAAAGTTCCATCACCACCATCCTTGTATGATTTGAAGGCAGAGCTTCTGGTAATCTTTTATAAAGCTTAGCAATTATACGGTACTATTTCTAATTGCTCAAAGAATGTTCTTAAATATCTGAGTAACACATAGTTGATTTTCAATGTTTTTTAAATGTTTTTTTTGTGGAGGACAGAAGAGAATACAGATACCTATTATTTATTCAAATTACTTTTCATTAGATTAGGGAACATCCTGTGTACCACTTAATAAAAGCTCAAGCCCAGATAAAGATGGGTGAAGTAGCAGAAGCCATTAAAACATTACAGATGGCAATGAATTTGCCAGGGATGAGAACAAGTGCACCTTCCTCTAAATCAAAAACAAAACGGATTGAAATTGATGGGCGTGATCGTGTCTCTCTCTACCTGGAACTGGTAGAGGCTCATCGTTTGAATGGCGAACAGGTATGGCAATGTTATGAATGCATTTAATCCTTTAGCATAGTGAACAAACTTCAGAGAGATGTTACCACATTTATAGTTTTAAAATCTTTAAAGGATTACTCAGTATCCTGATAGCAGTGACCAACAGGATGCATATGGACACTGCCCTGAATGGTGGTTTAATGAAATGTGAATAAACCTAGCTTTCCTAGAGGCTCATGCTGTTGCCTTCTCACATGGAGGAGGGAACTTATGCTTAAGCACAATTAAATCTGGCAAAATGTGGTTAGTTTCAAAGAAGTCAACTTCATAAAGCATGGTTTGAAATTAGTTTCTTATTAGTTTCTTTAAAAGCCAGTGCAAGTAATAGTAATCAGGTTATGTACAATTTGGTCAAAGAATGCCCAAACCCATCCAAGGAAAGGCTGGAAGTGACAGTTCCTTATTCTTCTCTGAACTAAGAAAGTTTGATCTTTCTTCATGTAGTTGGAAGCTTTGTAGCTTTCAAAAGACGCTTTTCCAAATGTTGTGGTGAGGAGGAATTTTAAATTGAAAGGGCATGAACAGAAAAGAAAAGTTCTTGGCCACCCAGCTAAGAAGCCTCTATAGTCTATATTTACCTCTTGGATTCCCCATGATACATTCATTTAAAAGAGATGGAAGTTTCCCCCATCTCTTCAGAAGGAAGGTTATTTGGAAGATTTTCAAACTGTCTCCAGCATAATGGCAAACTTTGTCAGCAGATGCTGTAGAATGGCCTGAAAGCATAGCCAAGTTCATGAACCACCCTAGAATGAAAGGTGCATTTTCATGAGTTTGGAATAAAATATGGCAATACATTGGCTCTTGTCCTCCTTGCATGCTAGCAATATTGCCAAGAATATACCACAGTGCTTTTCAGACTGTGATCAGAAGAATCCCAATGGGTTCTTTGCACGTTTTGATTGGATGTAGTATACAAAGGGAAAAAGCAAGGATGAAGATTACCCTCCATGAGTTAGAAGAATAGTAGCCTTTTCTACTTCTGAAAGTTCTACTACTTCTCATTTAGAACCTGATGAAGAACTTGCATAGGACAATCCAAGTGGAGAAGATAACCTGCTTCAAAATTTCTCCCTTTAGTTTGTGGAGAGCGACTGGAAGAGTAACGAGGGGGCCAGAATAGTCTCAATAGGGTTATTAGTAAATAGATTTGTCAGGTAGACCGCTTACTGCTATATTTGTTTGCAACATAGAGCTTAGGGGAATATAAAGAGCAATAAATATGGCTGGTGCTCTGTGTGAACCAATTGTTTTTCTATTTTCTGTTATAATAATTTATTAATTTTACAAATACAGTCAAAGAAAAGACAAAAGAAAAAGAAAAGGCAAAATAAGAAAGATTTACAAGCAACATAAAATTTGTTACAAAATTTCAAAGTAACAGTTATTTAAATCTGCAAATCTTAAACATTTAACATTGTAAGTCAGTACTAAAGCAAGTCAATATTAAAATTAGATTACTATATAGTAATTAACATCTATGACCGGTATGACTCAAATTATAAATTTATAAACCGAGATAAAAGAGTGGCAATAATTTTTGTCTAATTTGGTGTATGAACTAATTGTGCACCTTGGAAAATGCTCCTACAATATCCTCTACAGAATTCAGACAGAAACTTTTGTGAGCTGCCCAGAATCACCTGTGCGAGATGGGCGGCTATATCGAATGAATGAATGAACTAACTAACTAAGTAGCTTGGCAGACCAACTGAAAGAACTTAATCTGAGACTTGCAGTTTTGCCTCAGTGTGAAAGCTGGCATTTGACAAAATGTGTGTTTGTTTGTAGCATGAAGCTGTTAAAATCCTCCAAGATGCTATCAATGAATTTTCTGGTACATCTGAGGAACTGAGGGTCATGATCACTAATGCAGACTTAGCTCTTGTGCAAGGAGATGTTGAAGCAGCTTTAACTATGTTCAGAAATATAACACCAGAACAGACTTATTTTGTTCAAGCCAAAGAAAAGATGGCAGAGATCTATCTGGAGTACAGGAGAGACAAGAAGCTATATGCAAGCTGTTATAGGTAAGAGCTTATATTGCCCACATCCTTTTTTACCCAAAATAAATTGCATTGTAAATTTATATCCAAGAAACCACATTGACATATCTGTTGTCTGTTCTTCACTGATACTGTAATCATAGTCATGGGCACTGCTTTACACTCCTACTTGAGTGGACAGTTCCAATCAGTAGTCATGGGAGATGAGGACTTGAGCCCTTGACTCCTGCAGCCTGGGGTGCTGCGGGACTCAGTTTTCTTCCCTGTCTTATCAAAGATCCATATGATCCTGCTGGGTATAGTCATCTGTTATTTTGCAGTGAGGCATCATCAATCTGCTGTTGACACCCAAATCTATGGTATATCACCACCTTGCCCACACTTGCCGTGGGAGTCTTGAATTGGTGTTTTGAGGCTGTTAAGGACTAGATGGGTAGAAACAGCTTAGACTAAAACCTACCAATATGGAGTTGCTGTTTGTACAAAGACATCTAGCCTATCCAGAAATATCAGTCATGGTGGTTGCTCTAGATTGGGTCATATTCCCCCTGAAGAAGATGGTCCATTAGTTGGGGTTCCTCCTAGAGTTATGGTACCTGCTGAAATAGCAAGTGGAAGCCATTGTCAGGGGATCTTTGCCTAGCTAGGATTCATGCCCTCGTTACAGCTGTACCTGTTCCAGGAAGAGTAACTCATGCCCTGATCACCATGTGATTGGATTACCGCAGTACACTCTACAAAGGGTTGCCTTTAAAGACAACTCAGAAACTCCATTTGGTTCAGAATTCAGAGGCCAAGTTGTTAGCTGGAGAAACTACAGCAAAATCAGTTCCATTCTGAAGTTGCTGGTTGCCAGTATGCTTCCAGCCTAATTTAAAGTGCTGGTTATTACCTATAAAGCCCTATGTGGTGTGCCTCCAGGATATATCATGAATTGTCTCCCCAAATATGTTTATACCTGTCCATTGCAAACATCCAAACAAGGCTTTTTGAGAGTCCCACCCGAGGTCCAGGATTGTGGGCTAGTTGCCAGATCTTATAGCTCCCACCCTTGGAATACTCATACCCCCAGAGATACACCCCATGAAGACGATCTTCTGAATCACCTGATTCCTTTTGAAAGACCCCAAAGACATTATAACAGGCCTTTTGCCTTTAATAGGATTGTGGGCAGTCACTGATTTATTTTTCAGTGCTACATAACATTATGATTTTTCCTGTGCATCATCCAGAATTTACTAAGGTGGCGCAGTATACAGAAATTGCAAATAAATAAATATTCCAATAATGATATGAAAATAAATAAGTCTATATTAAGTGAGTGTAGTCCTGGGTCCTCAACAATTACATTGATTATAAAGCTGCTTTGCATTAATATGTAGTCTCTGCCAAGGGACGAAAAGGAATCTCAGGATGAATTGAAGATGTCCACAATTAGATGTTTTCAAAAGGTACATATGTAATGAGGTATCATAGATATCTCTTCCTTCCAACTCAGATGCCTTCCCTCTTTAAACTAATGCTCTTTATTTTGACATCAAATCAAATCAATATTTATTATGGTTATAGACCAGCAAAAGGGGGTGGGATACAGTCATTAAAAAGAAGCATAACAGTATAAAAAATTTAAAAATATACACTATATATAAAGGATATAAAAGGTGAAAATCTAAAAGGAGTTATAAAAAGTTAGAAGGTATAAAAGATATATAAATTAAATGGTAGATATAAAAAGTGAGACTATAAAAAGGAGGGGTGAGAACCTTAGGTGAGTGTAGGAGAGCATAAAAAGTTACTATGTAGAAGTTATAAAACACCCTAATTTCTCAGACTAAGACTACTGAACCTAGTTTATAATGTTGAGCCCCAGGCATAATCCAGAAGCCTGACAAATTTTGAATGCTGCTGCACCCAAACCTAAGCAATGTACCAATAGAAGAGAGCAACGTTGTATGTTGTAGCAGGATTAGAATCTGAAAGCAACAGAGTGGTATAAAATTGTCCTGTGCGCTCTGGGTATTTATGTGGTAGTAGTAAGATGAAACTAATATGAATGTCTCTGTAGTACAAGTACTGGAAAAGCATATGTTCTGTTGTATTTTGTCATCAGTTCTAACAGTTACATAGTTGGTAGCGAACCATATGTAAGGGGGGAAAGCTACATAAGGTTATCATGTCTTATGAGAGATTGTCACTAACAATGGCATAACTGCCTATTTTTAACTTTTCTGATCTCAGAGATCTAATGACTATAGAATATAAATGTTTAAGGAAAAAAAAAGAGAAACAAGGAAGGAGGAGGAGAAGAAAGCAAAAATTTGAAGTTGAATTCTACATATTTTAGATTCCTTATGCCCTTTCTGTTGTCTTTAATTTTTGCTAACCCTGATCCTAATTATAAAATAATTTATATTATTATAAACCTGTTTATACTTAAAATGACTACATTCAGATCTGACACTAAACCGTGATTTAGTGCAGGGATGAGCAACTTGTGCTCTTTCAGATATTGCTGAATCACAACTGCCAGGTTGGCCAGTGGTGCAGGATCTTGGGAATTGTAGTTCAGCGACATCTGAAGGCCCATATATTGCCTCCACAGCTAGTAGCGTTATGAAAATTATGCTTTCGTGTCCCCCCCACCATCTTCCATTTCAGTTTAGATTAATTGCAGTTTACCATAAACTAATTGTATGTTTTGTGAAAAGAGACCAGCTTCATACATGAATCTAAAACTTGAGCTTGGCTTGATTTTGCTTAATTCAGTAAAGAATAGACACATGGTTAACCAAAACTGGAGATGTCACATGATTAACCAAACTGCTCTTCATCTTCATCTTCATCTGCTGAATTATGATTTAGGGTTCTTTTCATCCCATTTCAGTTGTTCCACTGAATTATTGTAATTTAAGAAAAACAGCTGCCCACTGATTTATGTACGTTAATAAAACTAAGATCTCCAGGATATCAACTGATTTCAGTTTTCTTTCTCTAGAACACAACATTCTTTATTCCTGCTAAATTGAAGTTTCCAAGGAAGAAACAAATATTTGCCAACTATTAAAGACCAACCCTGAAATTTGTGATTGTAGAAAACTTAGTTTATTGCACCACCGGTAAAAGATTGTTTCTGGCAGTGCTTACCATAATGTTTCTTATTGTTCTTTGCAGAGATCTGGTGGAAAAAATGCCAAGTTCTCACACCTTTCTTCTCCTTGGTGATGCATACATGAATATCCAGGAGGTAAGCTTCTCCAGTGTTAGGTTAAGAACACCAGAATGAAGCTAGATCTTAGGAATTTAGAAAAAAAAGGAAATGATAAAATTGTAATCTGAAAGTAAAGAGATTACCTACTGTATCACAACACCACTGCATAAAAGATCCTCATGAAGCTAAAGAGATTCTTGTTCTCCCTGTCAGCATGGACACATGAGTTGATCTGAGTCCCTCCACTGTTCACACTCAAACTTCCTGTTCCCAGGTCAAAGTCATTCCCTTTGGTAGGTAAATTGAAGGAGAATACAGGCAATACATACATCTCTTCTGAACCTTATGGTAGTACAGTATTGGGGGGAGGGGGGCTCTTTGGAGGTTGAGACAGCTGCTTGAAGCCCCAGATTTTGTTTTGATAATTTTTAGAAATACGTAAGATCAAAATAGAACGGTTTAAAAAAATGCTAATTTTTGCAAGAGAGACAAGTATATAGTTCATAATAGCTAGCAAGGAAAGAGGGCGTAGGTGAGTCCTCCAATTGTCTCTTCATATGCAGATGCTGTGCATGAACTAGTGTGGCTTGTGCTCTAAGCTTTGAGTGGTCTGTTTTTTAATCAAAACAGTGCAGGAGCTTTTAGGTGTATTCATGGACACTGTTCTGAAGTGGAGTTGTTTTGTCATATCTGGCTTTCTGAGCTGCACTGTTTCTGAAAAATGTTCTCAAAGTATCTGTGTGCATTTGCTTTCCTTTTTGCCAGAACCTCAGTGTGGTCTTTGGGGGCTTTTTTCTTAGTTCTTTTCATTTTTTGCTTACTGGTCTTAGAGTTTTCCAAGCTTGAGGAAGGCATACCTATGACCCTCCTGATGTTGCTTCAGCCCCCAGCAACCCAGCCAGCATAGCCAAAGGTGGAAGATACTCAGGGTGCAGTTCATCAATATTGGGAGAGCCATGGATTTTCCATATCTGCCCTGTATCAAAGTATCATTTAATTATAAGTTGATCATGAGTTTTTGATTCTCTTGAAAAATTATTTTAGGAGTGAGTGGTCTGCTGAGTTTGATGGCAGTTTTGTGAAACTGCTCCTGTTTTCCCATTTATTTATTTACTTACTTATCTTTGAATCCCAATAAATCACAGAGTAAGAATCAGGTCTTCTACCTATAGTCCAATCATACATAATCTTAACTTTTATCTGTTGCAATTCTAGCCTGAAGAAGCCATAGAGGCTTATGAGCAGTCTTTAAAGAGAAATCCTAGAGATGGAGCCTTGGCTCGTAAAATTGGGAATGCTCTAGTCAAGACTCACAATTATTCAAAGGTATAGTATGAAGAACATACAGAAATAACAACTTGTATTCTCTCTATGAGCACTAGGGGCTTTTAAAGTTGCAAAGTAAGCAGATTCCCTAACAATTTAAAAATGGGGGAAACTGGAATGCTATCAAGCGCATATCCTTTTTCCTAGCAGCATTGTTCAAGGTTGGCCAACAGTGCACCAAAACTTTAATTCTTAGTGGGAGAGTTTAAGATTGTAATTATGGTGAGGTTCAAAATGCCATTTGCTTTCCTGATCCAAAAGAATGGCAACTCCCAGGAGCCCGCCCAGCCAGCCAGCTAGCTTGGCCAGTGGTGACAAATGCTGGGAGTTGTACTTTTGCAATACTGAGAGGGCCTTACATTCCCCAGTTCTGATCTAATTCATAGCAAAGCAGTTGTATCTTGATGCAGGTCCTCACTTTCTGTATGCGTATGAATTTTTTTCATAATTAGTGTGTGCATATTACCTTGAACTATAACTGGAGCAAAATAAGGACACCATGAAAAATGGAATGTATCTGGGTCACTGGATAAAGTTGTTCCTTAAGTATCTGAGAGTTTTTAAAAGGGCTTTAGCACTCATCTGCAAAAAATGCACTGGAAATTTCACATACGTGCTTTCAGAGAGAGTCTTTGTATTTTAGGCAATCAATTATTATGAAGCTGCTCTGAAAACTGGCCAGCAGAATTTCCTCTGTTACGACTTGGCTGAGCTATTGCTAAAACTGAGTCAGCATGACAAAGCAGAAAAAGTTCTTTGGCAAGCCTTAGATCATGAGCCTGGTAAGACCTGTTTGCTTCAGATTCTCAGTCAGTCAGTCAGTCTATATATATGGGGTAGGACCAACACTTCCAGAATTCACTCAAGAATTTTAAATTTGACTAGTTAGTTTGCTTCAACTACATGTTTTATGTAAGCACTAGTTACAAGCTAAGTAGGTTTAAAAAAAAAAACACTCAGCAGATGTTGGAAGGAAGAGAAGCATTGTGGTCTGATATATGGCTAGATTTTCCTCCCCAATCTGAGTAGCCTCCAGAAGGACCTTTGATGGAACAGAGGCTTCTGTTTTGCAGAAATAATAACTAAGGGGATTTTGCCAATTTCCTCTGCCATGCCACCTCAGTTACCTCATTTTCAATCAAATCAAATTAAATGAGCTATTTAAGGCTACATTTCTTTCCTAACTCTTGTATAAATTTCGTTAGCGCCCTTAGTTTCTTTATAATCCCCTCTCTGTAGTAACTCATGTCTCTCAATTCCATCTCCTTCTATTCCAACAGTCAATGATTTGTCTTCTCTGATGGAAGATATCCATTATCAGGTTCTTCTTGCAAAGGTTTACAGCAAAATGGAGAGAACTGAGGATGCTGTTGTTTCATTGCAACAAGTAAAGAAATCCTAAATCAGCTAAACAATGTATAATTGAAGTAATCTTGGGTTTTTTCTAATGCTTATTTGGGTTTCTGTTTTTCATTCCTTCTGTTTCAAACTGTAATGTATTGTGTGCTTTGAGGATGGCTGTAATGGTGTCCCTATAGAGGGTGAATTTTCAATCTCTTTCTTCTCTGCCTCTTTTATGGAGCAGCCTTAAGGAGGACTTTTATTTTTATAAAGACATTATAAAAGCCCTTTATAAATGTGTGAAGACTCTCAGCGGGTTTAGTGCAGCTGTTTAATGTTCCACCAAAATTGGATGAAAAATTGGACCAATAAATTTTCAATATATTGCAGTTCAATTGAAGTCATACAATCCTGGAAGAGTCTTGAGGTTGTTCAAAGGATAGGTTGTTGCTGGAAACAGCAGGTTGTACATAGAAAGTGTCAGTTAATATAATATTGTCTCTTTAGGTTTTTGGGGTGCGTGGGGTCAGATGAGAGATGCTTGGCAGACTTGGCTGAGGGTGGACTAGAATCTGGGTCTCCGAGTGCCAGTTCAGTGCTGAACCACTACAGCACCCTTGAGGACTGTTCTCTGACATATCTCCACTAGTTAAGAGCAAAAGTCAATCTGGCCACTTTGCATTCATGTGAGGGGCAGAGCTAAGACTTAGCAGCACATGTCATTTGCGTGCCTGAGGTCCCAAAATCCATCCCTGGCATCTCTAGGAGGAGCTTAGAAAAGCTCTTTCTTGCCACTTTGGCTCTGCAGGCCATGCAGAGCCAGAGACAGCACTGGCCTAACTTGGTTTAACACAACCGCCAGTGTGAAATGTATCAAAACAAGATGAGCACAATCTTGAGTTATAGAAGCAATTAGTCTTCTTCAAAATTCTCTCCCAACATCCTTGCCTACGATTTCCTACTGAAAAGCTGCCTTCTTGGCTTTTCCATCAGGCTCGGGAGCTGCAGGCCAAAGTCCTGAAGCGGATTCAGGTTGAGCAGCTGGACGCTGTTCCTTTGCAGAAGCAACTGGCAGCAGAAATTTGTGCAGAGATAGCAAAGCATTCAGCAACCCAGCGGAATTATGAGAAAGCCATTACATTTTACAAAGAAGCGCTTGTGCATTGCGAGACAGACAACAAGGTCAGCGGAGCTCCTAGATGAACCAATTTTTCCTCAGGTTTGGTTGAAAAGGCTTGGAGGTGGTCATATTTGGAAAAATAGTAAGGATCTGTCTGTCTTTAATTCTCAGGTGATGCTGGAACTTGCCCGTTTATATCTTGCACTGGATGATGTGGACGCATGCCAGCATCAGTGTGCTGTCTTGCTAAAGAATGATCGAGATAATGCAGCAGCCACTATGGTGAGTTAGGATGATTTCTTGTCGTTTCTTTTCAATTAAGGTGGAAACCTCTGTTGCATTATTACAAACACAGTGGCTAACCTGCATTCAGATATACTCAAAGTGACAGACCATTGATATAACAGTGGTCAAAATGGAATCTAAAATAAGGGTTTTAAAATCATTTTAAAATGTAATGCTACTGTCTTTTCCCTCCCACTCCCCCCAAAAACTCTGTAGCAATAAAGTGAAAAATAAACACTAGGCAGACTTTTAGGGGCATTAGTAAACCTATGTATATCCGCAATCTAATTCTTATTTATTTTACAATTATAGATTAAGAATACAACCACTGATCAGTCCTTTATCCTCTATCTAGGATACGGAAAGGAGGCCACAATAGGTCTGCTCTGTCCAGAAGAATTCCCATAACTACTTTACCATAGTCCACACCAGTTACTAAATTATCTTCTGGACTGGAAAACAGTACAGTTGTTTAGGACAAGAGAACTGACCTATCAGTGGCCCCAATTTCACTTCACTTAGCAATGCAAGTGTCAAGGGGCATGACATTTTGAATTTACCAGCATTTCTGGCCAAGAGAAAGATGGTGATGTCTTTTGGTTAATGGAAATAAAAACATGGATCATGAGGTATGCAGGCTTGAGGGATGTTTGGAGAAGGCATTTGAGAGTGTTTTGGAAGGGAAAAGGGTTTAAGGCAATGAAAAACTGAGATGCTTAAGCAAAAGAGGAGAGCTGGCAATTCAAAGCTGGCACTGAAAATATTGAATACATTTTGACAAATGACATATAAAGGCTTAATATACTAATTAATATAGCTAGCAGATAGGCTTCTTAGTAACTAACCACTAGACTTATTAATACCCCTTCTTCCATCAAAACAAGTGATCTCCCCAGTATGCACATACAGTATATCCTTCTCATTAGTCCAATGATCAAGTAATTGGTGGTCTGCAGGAACATGTTGGGAAAGATTTGTGTGTCTACAATGCATGTGTAATTCCTATTCCATAGCATTAACTGTAGCACTTGGCACCAGAAGGTTGTCGTTATTCTCTACAGCAGCTGTTGGAAACCTCTGGCCTCTAGAGATTTCCAATCTGCAAGAAGTCTGAGGAGGAGCAGATTCTCTCCTCCAGATCCCCACACCCAGTTGCCTAGGAAAAGGGACTTCCAATTGGAAGTTCAAATGATTCCCTCTCTCCACAAGTCATTAAAATAGTTTTCCTTTTGATAAATGGAAGCTATTTTAAAGCCTGGTCACTTCTTGGGGGTGAAAGGGGTAATGTTTTCTTCTGCAGTGCTTTTCAAAAGAAGAATCTTCCCTCCACTGCTATGAGACTTTCAAATAGCTTTCATTTATATCATCACTGGGGGTCATTTTTAATGGGATTCATTGATGGGAAAGCAAAGCTAAACTTCTGTGCCCTGGTGTGCAGTGAAATATAGAAAACGCAGTATTGGCCTCATTCAAATTCCATCCTCCATCAAAGTGAGTGATTTTCTTTCCCTTAAACATTTAAGATATGGCCCCAGCATTTGCTAGGTGGAATGTTTGGCCCAATTTGACTTTTACCCACTCTTGTCAAAAACGGATGTTTGCAAGGTTAGTTCAGTGCAGAGCAGGCTGTGCGCTCCTTTCTGATCAGTTAGCCTGGCTGCTTTATACTTGCAGATGATGGCTGACCTGATGTTCAAGAAACAGGACTATGAGCAGGCCTTGTTTCATTTCCAGCAGCTTTTGGATCGCCATCCCGGTGAGCATTGAAGCCTTTTGTTGTTCTTTTCTTACAAGCATTTTTTAAAATCAAACAAATCTTGAGAAAGGGTTAAAGGAACCGATTCTTTTCATAAATGATTATAAATGAACTATTCCATAAAAGTGTTATAGGACAATCTATTGTATTTGTTCAAGATCAGATGAGAAAGAGTTTTCTAAACCACTAAAGACTTTTATTTAAAAAGTAGATGAATGAAAAACATATTTACATAATTTTCAGAGCCAACTATACAGTATTTCTGTTTTTCTTGCCTCCATGATCCCTCATGCTATTGTTTAAAGCACCTGTATTTGGCCAGGGAAAACAGAATTCCAGTCAGAATAGGAAATAGGCTATTGACTACTCAAATGTTAGGGTCAGTTTAACAAAGAACATTCAGGCACTTTAAAAGCTAACACAGTTATTGTAGCAATAGCTCTCAGTCTGGGTGAGAAGTGTCAGATATTTGGCTGTATCAGTCAAGGATGCTGCCGGTAAGAGTTTCCAGGGGCAGGGGACAGGAAGATGGGAGAAAAGAGAATATATTACATTGGTTTTTTAGGAAGTAAAATACCTCTTTGCCATTGCAGGCAATCTCAATGAGGTTATTTAAATGTGACTAGACTTTAGTGAATTCTTGAAGTCTTAATGTGATTGGGGTAGGAAGCTAAAGGGTATGTGTTCTGAGATATTTTTTTTTTAAAATAAGAATGTTCAGAGTCTGTAAAAAAATAGGTACACTGATGACTTGCATATTGGAAATGATGATGGGGATAGAACTCAATACAAGATCGGCATTCTGCAGTCATTCATAGCCTTATTCAGGTGTTCCTGTTGTACAGAGGAACAGAGTAAGGATGAATAACTTGGTGCCTGTAATTCTGTTGTTTCCAGTGATCATGGTTCTTAGATGCATAGGGCAGGCTTATCTATCGTTTCTTCCCCCCTACTACCCTCGCCCCCCCACAAAAGTAGAGAAGTGTGGGTGTGATGGAGGAAGCAAGGACTATGATTGTAGGCTTGCTCTCTTTACAGAGTGAAGAATGTATGATTTGAAAGCCTGCCTCATCGGGGTTACTCTTTTGGCTTTCTTATTTAACTCTCTTTGGTATTCATGTTTGCTGCTTGTGTATATGTATGTATGTATGTATGTATGTATGTATATGTATGTATATACATAGATATATATGTATATGTATATTAGATAATATATGTGTATATGTATATATATATATGTATATAAGATATATATGTATGTATATGTATATTAGATAATTAATATATATATATCTTTAAAAAGGACAGTTGCTTTGTATAATATGAACACATATTAATAAATAATTACTCTTCACTGTCATATGCGTAGACAATTATACTACACTGTCTCGTTTAATTGACCTCTTAAGAAGAGCTGGAAAATTAGAAGAGGTTCCAAGATTCCTTGCAATGGCCGAGAAACATTCTCCAAGGACAAAACTTGATCCAGGTTTTCATTATTGCAAAGGATTATATTTGTGGTAGGTGTGGCTAGAAAATGACTAAAAATAAAAGAAATGGGGGGTGGGGGGGAGTCCTTTTTACTTGCTTTTATGAAATATTAGCCAAGCAAGTTCAGAAAATGTATTAACTGGATTCATGCACCGATGATTGATTCTTGATGCCTGACATGTGGAAAAGTATGCTTTTTCTGCATTCTTCCTCTCCCCTGCCTCCATCAAGCCCCTATTCCTCCATACCCCCTTGTCTCTGTGGAGAGGTTCACACACTCCACTAAGCCATTATGTGGCTTCTTTAGTTTAGGCTGAATGTGTTGTATAAACTCAGCCACTATGTTTTATTAAGCAGAGTTTATAGCTTAGCGCAGTCTGGGATCCCAGCCTCGGTGATTTTTTTCCCCTGACAGCTGCTAGTCCTTGTCCTCGCCTGAGATATTTTCCCCATCTTGAGATTTCCTTTTTCGTTAGACTTTTTCTTTCCATATTGATTTCCCTGCATATCACAGTTGTCTTCATCTATTTTTTATGTGCTGCTTGTTTATTCTTTTTTTTCTCCCTTTTATTCACATTTTTTGTGTGGGGGGTACATATCCCTCTATTAGGCTAGTACAAAAGGTTGCATGCCTTTGAAGATCAAGGTGACAATGAATGGTGATGTACTGGAATCAAATGCTAAGTAGATATATACATTAATAGAAGACAAGTGTGCAGTTGTATGCAAGTGGTTGACCCATATATTGAACTTTTCTTTCTGTTTGATGATTCAGGGTTGTAATGACATGATCTAGAACAGATTATGTTTGTCCTATAAAGGATTACTTGTCAGAATTCTGTTTTCATATTTGAAAGGTAGATTGGATGCCGCCACATGCTTTACTTTTCATAGATAAGCTAATTGTTTTGCTAAATGTGATTTAAAAAATGAAAACAGTTTAAAATTGGCTTGAATCTGTATGTCAAGATTTCTCCCTTAGCAGCAATTCTAATCTTACTACATTATGCTTTGTTAGTCTGGTACCCTAGACTACTTTCCATTTAGCTACAAATCTGTCCTTGTCTTCTCTTATGTTTGAACATGTTTTTTCTTTTTTTTATTTCTGGGAACTAAATGAGACATTTTTTCCTCTAACCAAAATGGCATTTAATTTCTTCTTAGTAGCCATATTAATATTTACCATTATCCTATACCTAAACTTTCCCTCTGTGAAATCACAATGAATTGAGAACTCCGAGTGTCAGTTTCTAAAGTCTGAAGTTGTAATATGTATACACAAGAACTACAATAAATCTGAAGGATTTTTTTTCTTTTGTTTTAAATTTTTTCACACAAGCTATTAAGTTGAATTCTTTTGCTAGGTACACTGGTGAACCAAATGATGCACTTCGACATTTTAACAAAGCAAGGAAGGATAATGACTGGGGACAAAATGCAGTGTACAATATGATCGAAATTTGCTTAAACCCTGACAATGAAACAATTGGAGGGGAGGTGTTTGAACATCTGGATGGTGACATAGAGTAAGTGACGATGGGACCTTTATGACTCCTACTACTTTAAGACAGCATCTTGCTCAATTAATTATGAATGATGTTTGGAAGAATCCCTCCAATTTGTTTTTGGGTGCAAACAGTGTAGGGTGAGGCAGTAAATTTGTGTCAGTGCATCCTGCAGACTGTTAGATAACACTGTTAAGAAGCACCTGGTGCTAAAAAACCTTGTTTGATGGCTTAAATTTTCACATGGTGGTTTCTATTTCAGCCTGACCTTAGACTGAAGACATCCAAAAGGCTTTGAAGCTTATTTAGTTAATTCAGTAAAGCAGAAAAATAACTTCTCTAACTATACAGTTGTTGACTTCTTTTGTCAACACTGTTTTCCTTTTCCAACTTGAACAAGGAAGACTGAAGCTCACCTTCAGGCATTCAAAGAACAAAAAAGAAAGAATATATTACAGAAATAGAGATGCATGCTGTAGCCTTGCCCTTTTTGACAGAGTGGATTTGCTTTAGGGGTGCAATCATATCTGATGGAGCATTCATATCTACTCTCCATAAAACCACCATTCCACCTCCAAGACAGATTTTCACTGAACCCTCAAAAGAGGGTTTAAGCCAAGGGATTGATACTGTATCAGGATTATGGTGCCCTGTTATATGCACTTTTGCATAAAAAGGCACCACTTCTGTCTATGCATGAAACTGAAAACTGCTCTTAATACTTTTTTGCATTTATATCTTGAATACATGCAAGAATATCTCTAGCCCTCTTTTCCTTCTACTGCCACTCCATTCTAAAATATGACCTTGATGTTTTTTTTCTTGTATATAGTAGTTCTACAGAAAAGCAAGAATCAGTGCAGCTGGCTGTGAGAACAGCAGAAAAACTCCTAAAAGAATTGAAGCCTCAGACTGCTCAAGGTCACGTTCAGCTTTGCATCATGGAAAATTACTGTTTAGTGGCAACTAAACAAAAATCAAATGTTGAGCGAGCACTAAATGCCTTTACAGAAATTGTTACTAATGAGGTAAGTGGTAGAAAATATTTGTTCAGTTGAACATGTAGAGTTTAATATACATATAGGAAAGTGCCAAAATGTCCATTGGTCTAACATAAGAAAATACTTAATATAAATTTGTGCAAAATTTTACTTCTCTGCTGTTATTGTATCTGTGGATAGCAGCTCCATGGCACTGTTTAAAGTGACTTGGTCTACAGTATATTAGGAAACAACAAGACAGACAGGCTACTGTGATGAATTTGTTAAGCATCTAGAGGAAAAAATTAGATTCAGTTGAAGTTGGAAGCTGGCTAGGCAAATAAAGCTGAGATGACAGAAGTCTTGTGGAATTAGCTTGGGCTGGTTTGAATCTGTGGATCATGAGGAAGTGTACAAGGCTTTTAGCTGTGCCACCTCTAGATTAGATCTCTGCCCTACCCAGTTGAGGTGATAGGAGGCCAGATACATGGTAATAAATGCATACCTGAGTGAAGTGATGGTGTCTTCCATCTTGAAAGAGACAAGGTATGTCTCCTCTTTAAAAAAAAGATTACTCAACCCAGCTATTTTAAAAAACTGTCAGCTGATGTCCCAACTCCCCCTTTTTAGGGAAAGCTGTTGAAAAGCTGGTTGGAGTTCAGTTACAGAAAATCCTGGATGAAATGTATTATGTGGACCCTTTCAATCAGGATTTAAGCTTGGGTGTGAGACAAAAACCACATTGTTGCTCTTGTTAATGAGCTGTGATGGGACCAGGATAGAGGGAATGTAAGAAAATAGGATATGAATCATCCTTGGGTGATGTGGCTACAAGTGTCAGGTTCTGGCTTCTAGTGAAATATGGTTATTGATAACCATGTTGCTGTCCTTTACTAGCCTTAGAGCATAAGTGGAAACCACTGGAAGAAAAATATAGTGACTATGCAATGAGACTAAGAAAAACCAGTGATTTTCTAAAATGATTTGCTTGGTGAGACACTGGTCTGTTAGTTTGGAGTGACACTCAAAATGTTTTGGTCATGTTTCTTATGTGAACCAACAGATTCTGCTATTGCACTCAAGAGAGCTACCTTCTGAGGAAAGACAGCATGGAATTCATCATAGAAATCCATTTTCCTGCATCTGTTTAGCAGGAAAATGTTTATGGTTCTTGAGAGCATTGCACACTGATCTTTAGGGCTGAACATGCATCACAGGTGTAATATATACTGTTGGCAAAAGTTTATATTTGTGTAGCATTCTCTGTTTATCTTCTCTGTTCCACCTATTATTTGCTGCAGAAGGATCATGTCCCAGCACTTTTGGGAATGGCTACAGCGTACATGATCTTAAAACAAACTCCAAGAGCCAGAAACCAGTTGAAGCGAATTTCAAAAATGAACTGGAATCCCATTGATGCAGAAGAGTTTGAAAAAAGTTGGCTTTTGCTTGCTGATATTTACATTCAATCTTCAAAATATGACATGGCGAGTGAATTACTAAAGCGATGCCTTCGTCATAATAGGGTAATTGACAGACCAGAAACCATTTTAAAACTATTAGTTGGGTAATCTAATAGAGGCCTTCTGCCTTCAGCCTCAGATTTTTCATCCTCTTGGAGTCTCCTCCTTTTTAGTAATGTTTTTC